AGCTCGCTAGCCTTGTAACAAGAAGGTCCTGGGTTCGAACCCCGTGGTGTGGGTGAGTACTGATGAAGAGTCCCAAGCTAGGCTGATGAAACAGCTGTCCAGTACTATATAGGTGGTTTTCCAATGGTTCTCTAACTGATGTCAGCTCATGATGAAATCCTGCATTTAATCGAACTAAATCCCTACAAAACCAATACTTGATTGATTTTAGTTTAAAAATGAACTCCGTGCAAGTATGTTGAAATTGTTTCTGTAAATATACTTTACCATGACTTTGGCCTGTAAGTAGCTGATGGGAAGCCAACGAAATAAATGATGGTATCATTTTATTGTGCAAAAAATGTTATTTTTGCTTTATTCAAATGCAAATTCATATTTGCATCTATATACTACTTATAAGTCGTGTTAGTAGCAAACTCTACAGTCGTTAACATGAGTGGTGTGCATCTATGCATGTCAATCAATCATTAGTATATATCACAATGCATCTACGTTTGTATTCTTGATTGCTATTTATGGTATTAAGATGGTCACATATTGTGATCTAAATAATTTCAGTTTCCAACGGAAACTGTGGTGAAATTTCACTTAAAACTGAGTAAATTGCAAATTACAAGTTAGTGACATTTAATTGTATGTGATAGTTGATGACTGCAGAAAGTAATTGCCATCTAAAACAATAACTGAGCTTTTGATAAGACTAATAGATTTTTAGAAAGATTCAGTAAATAGCCTAAATATGAATAACTAAATATGATCACATTATTTCAGACTTTAATATTATAGTAGTCTAGTGGATAATGCATTACTGTTTGAAGCAAGGGAAGATGGGTTCGAATTTCACAGGTAACACCATCATTTATCGTGGAGCAACTACATCCAGATGACGAGTTCCAAGTAGGAATGCTAACTACCATCAAACAAGTAACTTCGAGTTATTAATTCTGGTAATATTGAGGCATCTGTCCAAAGAGCATGTATACAATCTTTGTCAAATATATCAATGAGAAATCACAAACATGAGTACTCCTAACACCATTCCACTGTGTACGCCGTTATGTTACGTAAAATGGGAACACAAGAAAATCTTTCGACTTGTCCGCAGCTCGAGTGGTTCATTCGAGACAGCTAACTGATGCAAAATTACAATTCAAAATGGCTAACAGCTTGTATTGCACTGTTTTACTCTTCACTAGATTCTGTGGCGTATTATTATTACTATTCCGTCGGGTTTCGAATGGAATATCGGGCTTCAAAAACGCATCTCCACTTTGTTCTGTTTTCTTCTGTCCCCTTCAGCTGCGTCAACGATTGCCTATCATCTCACATCTCATCCTCCTAACACGATCTCCTTCATGTTGCCGTCGCACCGACAACCTACTCGTCGCTTCCCAATGGGATTCCACTCGAGCGATTGTCTGCATTGTGCGCGATTTCATTCGACAACCACCTCAAGTATGCCAAATCCATCTCCATTTCCCTCTACATATCTGCTGAGCGATAGGCTCTTGGTTGGTTTGCTGCTGATTCCCTCAGCCCAACCATTTAATTTTCAGTTTGGAGCCATCGAAGACAGCTGTTGATAAAGGTCTGCACAACCTTTTGGAAGTCCTTTTCGTGATATACTGGCCAAGTTTCTGACCCATATAGAAGGGCTGGCTTAATTACTCATTATCAAGTTTCTGGGACAAAACACTTTGTCTCACTAGTGGAATAATGTTTGTTAGAACTTCGTTGCCTTACAACTTTTTTAGTGGTAATATTATTTAGCATTTAGAAGTTCAGTAAACGTTTGTGTTTAATTGGTGGATGGTGACTAGCAGTGGAATCGAGGATGCGCATTTCGTCCTTTTTGGGACTCGTTAGCTGGATGTACCTGCATTTCTCAGTGAGTGATGATGTTCCCACTGAGTCAATTAAACGTTTGTGTTTGATTTAAAGTATTATTGAAGTTATAATCTACATGTTTTATTGCATCGTTAATATTTAGAAGGAGAAATAACTCCAATATCAAACTAATTATGGTAAATTATATTCTTCAGAACAACAAGTACCAACAACTGATTGTTACTTTCTATTTCTTCGAAAATAGCCAAAATATGCATATTTTTAAACTTTCTCTACTAAGCGGCCGGTCGAATTATTTTGCATTATGAACTGTCGTCAAATATGAAACAGATCAAATCTCTACAAACTAACTGTTGAAAAGTTATCTGATGCTCGCCAGTGACGGGATACAAGATGAAGCTGCCTAGAGTACTGGTGAGAAGTCATCACCAACGGGATTCACCACCAGGCCAGGAGTGAGGGCAAATACTCTTCAGTCATAACATTGGCTGGTGGTCGCGTTAAAATCACTAAGTGGTTGAAGGTGAAATTCAAGAGCTGGCCATTGAGTTGGGTCCTAGTGGTTGAATAATCCACGAGCTCTCCTTGTAACCGATAAATCCTGAGTTCGAACTCCAGTTGGTGAGTACTGTCGATAAGTCCGAAACTAAGGCGAGACATCTGTCCAATATTCCATGGTTTTCAATAGTTCTGTCACCGATATCAATTCGTAGTCAAAATTAAAGCAAATCGAATTCCTTCAGACTAACTCTTGAAAACCTAATTATTTGGTTGAATGCAATAGACTGGAACAGATTTTAACTTGTGTTGTCCTCTAGTCTCTAGTTTCCCATTTGAAGTATTTCTGTGGGATACACTTTCTGCTCAATGAGCTAAGTAATACAACAACGCGCATTGCAACACCCTTTAACATAATATTCAGTTACTGGAGGAGTTGATGAAAGTAGTGTTCAGGCTAAGTAACATTCATCAGTAGGGTATACATTAGAACTTGGGGATTTGAAACAACCCTTTCTGAATGTATTCCTCGGTTATAATTATGATGTATTAGAAGTTAATGGGTATATTGCAAAGAAAAATAGGCAATTTTCAAAACAAATCAATTTCATTTTATATAAAAATTTCTGAACCCACATCTTGGAGTTCATCTAAAAAATTCACTTAAATTTCCTAGTTAAATAATGTTTGCTTACAAGTTAGAAAAACATCCACAAGGTATTATAATTAGGAGTATCACTATATGGTTTTGCAGGTTAATAATAATTATAGCTTTATTCTGAACAATGTTTTTAGAATGTACAGAATTTTCAGTGAAGTTTACTGCATGATAATTTCCCTTCGTCCAGCGTCTTCAAATAAGTGACTAATTGACAGTAGAATGTGTGTGACATAGTTCTATTCGAGCTGAAGAGCAAATCAATCTATTATGATATCTCTTGTTTTTCTTGTTTGAGAAATACGTGACATTTGGTTGAATGCCAATTATAAAAAGTTCAGGAGTACACTTTGTGAGTCAAGGACACCACTCAGGAACGGTCACCTCATGTATTAGGATAAGATGCCATCAAGGATAATGCTTTTTCACCTTATGTTTAGTAGAAACTTGTGAATCAGCAGGTTGTGAATATTTTAAATACTCTCCAGAATAGAGATCATATTTTATTAGATTCAAACAAGGAGAGTAAAAGGAATAATAGCAATATATTAATGGAGGTTTTTCGATAGCCCAGGGATTAAGCAGGTCGCCCAATCCAGGTTACGATAAGGATTTTGTCAACATAAAGACATTCCATATGTACAACTCCATTTAAAGTATTTAGAAGCAGTCAATTATAATGTCTCTGAAAGTTATGTTGATTGAGGTATGCTTGAGTTTTCATATGATAAAGAACCTGAAGCGTACAGTGGTAATAATTGGGAAGGACTAAGAAGTTATTCCATGCTATGAATCATAGTCGATTGATTGGTTGATCTAGTTCAGAATGAGAATAATCTAATGGTGAATTCGCCAACGTCAGTATTCAGTAAATCATGTTTTCATCCCTAAAAAAGACATCAGTTTTCTAATGATCACAGATTTTTCTCGCTAATGAAAGTCAATAAATATGAAGATCAAGTTCAAAGCCTCATTTAGAAATAATTTGAATAAAGCAAGAACATCAGTGGTTTGTGCAGAATAATATGGTACTATCATTTATTTCGTTGGCTTCTCATCAGCTGCTTATTATTAAGTTTAAGTACAGAAACGTTTTAACATACTTGCAAATTTTACATGTTGTCAGTTGACAGAAAGTTCCACAATTAGTAAACATTGCTCAGAAAATTGCGCTTATACAGTTTTACACAGGCAGTTCAAGTTAAAACAAAATAAATGTATGCATATTATGGCAAAGGAGTTACATAATAAAGATGAGATATGCGTTAGATGCATAGTGACTAATAAGTTAGGTGGCAATGTACTTAAGTGGAAATCGAGAAATCCTTCAAAATTATCAATAGACAAAGAAGCTCCATTCTCCTCAAGTTTGCCGAAGCGATTTCTATTAAACGCTTGAAACCAGATTTATGTGTTCAGAAAGAAGCAGTTCTTAGTCTTTCCTTGCCCTGGTAACTGGATGTCTTTACTATCTCACCTGATTACGTAATCTTTGTCTTTAACCTCACCCTCCTTTTATAATCTGTAATTTTGCTTGTCTCTTGGTTCTATCATTTGAGTTCAACTCAGTATATTGCTACCTAATTTAGTAGTCACTATGCATCTAACGCATATCTCATCTTTATTATGCAACTCCTTTACCATTATATGCATACATTTATTTTGTTTTAACTTGAACTGCCTGTGTAAAACTGTATAAGCGCAATTTTCTGAGCAATGTTTACTAATTGTGGAACTTTCTGTCAACTGACAACATGTAAAATTTGCAAGTATGTTAAAACGTTTCTGTACTTAAACCTCATAAATAAGCAGCTGATGAGAAGCCAACGAAATAAATGATAGTACCATATTATTCTGCACAAACCACTGATGTTCTTGCTTTTTTCAAATTCATCAAGGGGAATAAATACATTAAAAATAATTATCTATGACATTTTTAAGCTAAATTAAATATGTAAAATCTTTAATTAATATTAATTAAATCAAATATACTTACATCATCAATTACGGTGGACAAATTGACAATGTTACTGGCATTTTTCCAAATCACAGAATTTCCTTGGTTTGATTTGATAAGTTCAAAGTTTCTTGGAAGTGGTTGAGAGCATACACTATGTATATAATTTATAAGTTTAAAAAGGAAATTTTAGTGAACATAAACTCATTCTATATAATAAATTTATGTGTGAAATATTTTGTAATAATTAAAAGAATGAAGGAATCTTCATGAAGTATAGGGCAAATGAAGACTCATCTTTTGAGTGTGATGAGAACAAAACGCTGATCACCCACTAGCGACTTTCCCTTTTCAGGTAGGTAGTTACCTGGGGTTCTAGTGAGAAGTCGTGACCAGTAGGGTGTGGCAGCTTGGGTGTGAGGACAAATAATCGCCGAAGACATTGGCTAGGGGTCGCGCTATGTCATGAATTGGCAGAAGTTAGAATTCATGGGCTATTGGATTGGGTCTCAGTGGCTTGATGGTATACGAGCACGCCATGTAACCAAAAGGTCCTGGGCTCGAACCCAGGTGGGTGCGTACTGATGAAGAGTCTCAAACTAGGACGAAACAGCTGTCCAGTGCTCCTAGGTGGTTTTCCAATGGTTCTCTAACCAATGTCAGCTCATAATGAAATCATGTACCCAAGTATATCCCTACAAACCAACACTTAAAGTTATTCTTCTTGTTTTAGTCTAAACTGTCATTGTAATGCATTAAGATAGTGTTGAATTGTAGAACATAAAAGATCTTGTGAAGTTTTCTGATTCAGATTACTTTGACTGTCATGTACATCGAATTTATGCTTTGTTTAGACAAGAAGTGTTACTGAATAATGGGTAGTAGTCTGCCACAGGAAAATAAGCTATCTGAAGAGTTTTGAAGACGATAGAAGTCATCAGCAGTCACACAGATGGGTTATGTGATATAATCTTTGACAAATACACCAGTTAGATGGAACTTTAAAAACCCTATACTATTAGTAATAATAATAGCTTAATTCTGGGCAATGTCTACAAAATATACAGCTTTCTCAGAGAAATTTATTCCATAATATATTCTTTTAGTCCACCATCTTCAAGTCTCTGATAATCGATCACGTGATACAGTGCGATCTGACCTGAAGCGCAAACCAATCCGTTATAATATTTCTTCTTTGTCTCCGAGATATGCACGACATTTGGTTGAAAGTCGATTAGGAAAAGTATACAACTACATTTTGCAACCCGTAGGCATAACACAATGATTAAAGACTATAGGTAACTGCGTTCTATCTTCCGTGTGAAATGGTATAATAGGTTGAGAGATATTGAGGTTAGGCTTCAATCGAGTGCTAGGTGAGGAGGGTGAATCAATAGACGAGGCTTTGAAGTTACATCGATTGAGATGGTTAGGACATGTGTTACGTATGCCTAGCCATCTCCTTATTCGACGGACAATGTTAGCTGATATAGGGTCAGGCTGGAAAAGAGCTAGCGGCGGTCAAACCAAAACATGGCTTCACCAATCAATGAAATCCACAACAGTTAGTTTAAGCCAGTCACGTAGGGAGGTGTGGAGTGGCTGTCTGGTTGGGGACCTCAGGATGGTAAAAACTCGTGGCTGGAAACAACCAGTGACATGGCCCAATGGCGCAGAAGCATCTACTCCTTGTGACTTATACTACCCAATAAAACTATATTGTTTTTCGTTATTACTATTCTTTTTGCCTCATATCTCTCTTTACTGTCTCTATTTTGCGTTTTTATTTTACTTTCTTCTCCTGCTTTGTATTCTGAGCGAAGTGTGGCGACTCGAAATGCTGCACATCGGTGCAAAGTTCTATGTTGAAACCAGTCCAGTCAGTCAGGTAGTTAGTTTTACATCCCAGGCAGTAGCGGTTTGTACTTTAAGTGTCGATAGCAGTTATCTCATGTATTGGAATTCGTTGTCACCCACAACTATACTTTTTCTTAAGTTTAGTCGGTACCTGTGAATCAACAGTCTGTAAACATTTTAAATACTAGCGAGAGTGAACAATACCATCAGAGGTCATGTTTTTATTGACTAAAACCATGCAAACACAAGAAATAAGATGGATTGGATGGAGGATTTCAGCTCATGATGAAATCCTTCATCCAATCAAACAAAAATCCCTACAAAACCAATACTTGTCCATTTAACATAAATTATGAAAATTATTCCCTGACGTTCTGACTGGAACATAGGACTTCAAGCTAGAGCTAAGAAGTTTCCGAAACAGTGGTTTTATTTCTACAGGATAGAGTTGCTAACCTCACGCCCAATCTTCTCTCTTTACCGAACTTCTTATCGGCTTCAAGAGGTTTAGGAGTGAGTTGGCCAATGTTCAAATTTCGAACCATGTGAGGCGTGGTTAGTGAGCTTCCTGTCACTGAACCACCGACGCTTTATATCCATACAGTTAATCACTATTTGTGGTGATATGATGATCGTGACAACAGTAAATGTGTAAGGGCAAATTATGTGACATCCTAAGTTAGCAAAGAGTTTTGAAAGTTTTCAGCTTCAACTTTAAAAGTAAAGTGAACATCAAAAAATATAGAGAGGTGTATAAAGTAATTGCTAAGACCTTCTGGTTCACATAAAAAGTAGTATTCGCTTTATTTCTGTTAACTGTCTCAATACTCGCTGTCTGCTACGTTACGTACTTATCTCAGATTAGTCACTACTAATCCTTACTGCTCACTGAATGACATTAAGGTGGCTATGTAAAAATAATCTTTAGAGTTATTCATCTTTTAGGAATTTCCAATTCCTTATGTTCACCGTACAATTCCACCTTCACTCAATGTCATCTATGAGTAGTGTTTCACACACCTGACTTGACAAACCTCTTACGAAAACCATCATAGGGTGAACTTATTTAATGAGGCCACAAAATGCTCCTGTGTGGTTTACTGGTAACGTTTTGAACACAATTAGCAATAAACTGTGCTCAAAACGTCATCAATAAATAATAATACATCACTGTGTGCTTTCATCAGATAAATTTAACCTTGGATGAAATTATACTCTTACCAAAACACCTGAAACACAACTCTATGCAAATCACTGATGAAGAGTAAATCGGTAATCACATGTTATTTTTGTGGGTTTTTAACTGATACGAACAAAGGCTGCAGTATTTGAAGCCAAGTAATTTACAAAGTCTGCTATTGTTGTATGGATAAACTGAAAAATTCAAGATCACTTTGCTTCCTGTTTAAATATTGAACTATGCCGACCAGAGTTATCTTTCAGTTGTATTTGATAGGGTTAACTTTTTATTAAAACAAATATGTCTGGCTTTTAATCTGTGTTGTACTAAATACGCTGGACTCGAGCCTATGCAAACGGTTAAGGAATTACCTAATGAATCAATCTCTTTTCAGCTTATCGTGATATGACAGTTGCCTAAAACAATTGTATCTGAACAAAAATATGAATTCAGCAATCAAATATTTACTTTTTATCCATGAGTTTTAGTTATTCTATACGACAACGATAAAAGTATGAGTGAATATTTTTTTTATCAAGTTAACTTTATTACTAGTTCCCATGCAGGTATTATCATTATTATTTCCTCTAATTCCTAGAGGAACATAGGGCTTCAGCCGCGCGTCTCCAACTCGCCGCTTTCCCTTCAGGTTCCACTCGAGCGATGGATTGTCTAGTGATACCACTTGATGGCTTCCTCAGGGTATGGCCAATCAACCTCCATTTCTTCCTGCCTACTTGTTGCACCAGAGGTTCTTGGCTGGTTCGCTCCCAGAGATCCCTGTCGCTGATCTTTTCTGGCCAATTGATCTTGAATACTGAGAGAAGACAGCTGTTGATGAAAGTTTGTGTTTGTTCAAAGTGGCCTTCGTGACGTGGTGCCAAGTCTGTGATCCGTATACTAGCACTGACTTTACATTGGAGTTGAAAATTCGGATGTTATTTTTGATTCTGAGTGCTGTTGACCTCCACACAGACTTAAGAGTAATGAAAGCTTGTCTTTCTTTTCCGATTCTTGCTTTGATATCCTCGTCAGTTCCGCCTGTAGCTGAGACGATGCTTCCCAGGTAGGCAAAGGAGGTTGTTTATTTCAGGTTCCCCCCATTTATGTTGGCTGATTGTTGTCTGTTGTTGCTGCTGTCTCCCTATCACGAAATGTGGATGGGTTAAACAGTTATATTTGATGAGAGATATTTTTAAGTTCCATCAACAGTTCAATATTATACCACCTCGTCCAAACCGGTCACAAAGCCAGCATTGAAAAATCTTTCTCTACCATCTACGGGTACCAAATTAATTGACAAAAACATCCAGGTACCGAAGACTCCAAACAACTGAGGTTATCACGATTCTCGTGAAACAACTAGTGCTCTGTGTGCCAAAGAAGCAAGTCCACCTGGTCACCACTACTGCCCTGGTCGGTCTACAGTTGGGACTATAAATTCATGAATTGGCATTATTATCTTTCCTAATTTTTCTGATATTCAGTGTGTATTGTTATGCTGATGCTATCGAACTGTAATTTATTGATATTATTATTACTACAACAACATCCAACGTCAATCACCATCAATGGGAGGGATTTGAAAGAGGTTACTTCATTCACTCATTTATCTAAGAAGCATTGTCTCAACTACAGGAGGAGCGGAGGAGGATGTCAAATCAAGAATCGGGAAGGCGAGAAACACATTCATCAGCCTGAAATCAATCTGGAAATCTTCGTCACTCAGCATCACCAACAAAATTCGGATTTTCAATACAAGCGTCAAGTCAGTCAGTCCTTCTATACGGATCAGAAACTTGGCGGGTCACAAAGTATATTTCCAAAAGGCTGCAGACCTTTATTAACAACTGTCTTCCCTCAATACTGAAGATCAGATGGCCGGAAAGAATCACCAACAAGGAATTATGGGAGCAAACAAAGCAAGAATTAATCGCCCAACAAATATGCAGGAGAAAGTGGAGATGGATTGGACACTCGCTGAGGAGACCGCTGGGTGACATCGCGCGCCAAGCCCTCGAGTGGAAACCGAAAGGGAAGCGGCGTGTGGGACGTCAGTAAAAGGGTGACATGGAGGAGATCGTGTGAAGAGGAGTTGAAAGAAGATGGATTAACATGGATACAGGCGAAAAGTATAGCAGAAGACAGAAGAAAATGGAGACGTGCAGTTGAAGCCCTATGTTCCACTAGGAACCCAAGGGAGCAATAATAATAATTATTATTATTACCCTTATTAATTCGATGTTATTCAAACAACATTAATGTTGGTAACAATGCTAATTCATTCACTATAATTTATATATATGTATCTGTAGAATTGATGAAGGAGTTATCGAAAAGAATATTCTTTGTTCACTAAACATTCTTTTTAAAAAAAGTTATAATGGGCATTTTTAATCAATTCGAGATATAACTAACTTTTCATTATCTGTATGAAGGCATATTTTGAATACCGGTAAACAGAATGAACGTTCCACTTGATCACACAATGTACCATCAGCTTGAGTTCGTACACTGTAATCACAGCTTTGTAGATTAACACTAACTGATAAATGACCGCCTTTGGCTATATTCAGATATGTCAATATATAAATTGTCAGTGGAATGAAAGACAACATAATTTCTGATGAAAAGAAGAGAGAGACAATGTGTGTAAAGTTAGAGTTTATATTGATTATCGAAAATGTTAAGAATAAAAACTGCTATTTTTTAAAAACAATTTTCACTTTTTTAAGCAGAAAAAAGAATCCTACCGCATTTTCTGTCTCATGAATTTACCATGTATTCGCAGAGATCTATTGACTAAGGAATTGAATTTCTTTGGTTATCCTGTCTTCATCGTCAGTAATCATATAAAAAAGAGGTCATCATGGAACAGCAGAAGGCAAGAAACGGAAGCTAAGGTGTATTTTCAAGTGATCAAACGGCTATTTATATCTATGTAGTTTATATTCTTTAACCAGCCACTGAGTGTATGATTTTGGTTTGCATTAAATGACATGAAATAGAATGTCCAAACAGATATATCGTATTCTGTTGCTAATGCAGTACTGAACTGTAGGAAGAGTGTGGTGAGAGCTGGCTGTTAGTCACAATTGGTGGGCAGTAATTTACGTCAATGTTAATGTCCTCAATATTGGTTGTGAGAAGAATGAGAACAAAGACTTTGCTTAGTCGGTTACTGTAAACATATAGATGATTTGACATTCAAGAAACAGCCACAAAGAAATGCGACGTTAACTTTCTGTGGGAAACAACCAATCAGATGGCTGTGTTTTTCTGCTAACAATAATCTATAATATGTACATGAGAATCTATAAATATGTGTTGATTTCCTAAATAAACGATCTGTTGCCTGACTCTTGCCTTCTGTCATTACAATAGTATTCTGACGTTAACTCCAACAGATACAATGATTCCTACTGTGAGAATAATATTCCGTTGGAACTCATTGTCTGTATCACACCACCACACTGTGTCGCATTATTGAATCGGTTTATATTTAAAAGGATTTTTGGCATAAATTTACACTTGAATTTTACTGAAATCTTCAATACCTAACTCTAAATAGGGGTCGAACCTCAGTGGGTGCGTACTACCGATGATTCCCAAACTAGGATGAAACAGCTGTCAAGTACTCCCTAATTGTGTTCACTGGTTCTCTAACTGACATCAATCCCCGTAGTCAAACTCGTGAAAACCAATCAAATCCTTGTAAACCAACTGCTGAGAAATAATAATAAAGCTTTATTTCTGATAATATGAGAACATATGGCGAGTCATAAGAAGCATCTCAAACAAACTACAGACCTTCATCAACAGTTGTCTTCGCTCAGTACTCAAGATCAGATGGCCGGCCAGAAAAGATCAGCAACAAAGATCTCTGGGAGCGAACCAACACAGCAGGAACCGATTGTGAAACAAATAGGCAGGAAGAAATGGAGATGGACTGGCCACACCTTGAGGAAACCATCAAGCGACATCACTAGACAATCCATCGCTCGAGTGGAACCCGAAAGGGAAACGGCGAGTTGGTCGTCAGTGCAAGGGTGACTTGGAGGAGGTCATGCGAGGAGGAGATGAAAGCATGTGGGCAGACTTGGAGCGGAGTGAAAAAGTTGGCAGAAAACAGAAGGAAATGGAGGTGCGCAGCTGAAGCCCTATGTTCCTCTAGGAACTAAAAGATATAATAATAATAAATAATAATTTTCAGTATATTTAACTCCGAAATACTACTAAAGTATATCTTCATTTCGTGGAAGAACAGCACAGCTTTTACTTAGAATCAAGTTAAATCAGCCCGCAAGTTCATGTAAAGGTCATAAGATATAACTGCATGATTAAAACAGTGAAAAATCCTGATGAAATTAAGCATTTTAGCAGAAAGCGATTTTGGTAGCCCATTGATTCCATTGATAACCCACTTAGTGATATTACTGAATAAACGTAGTGACTCAGATTGTAGCTACTTAAGGTAAACTGAATAGAATGAACTGTTCAAATTCATCATATTTCAGATGTATTTAGGGTAGCGTTAAATATTCACAGATGGTTTACTTATTGTTGTATATATATAGTATTTTTGTTTAATGGATGATTTTCCAATAACGACTTTTGTTCGTAACCATAAGGAAATTTGTTTCATCGTTGTTTTAGTCTCTTCTGCCAATTTTTCCATTGGTGGTAGAACTTTCCGAATAACTAGTGTGGATATGTCAGCCAGTTTTGGTGCGTTATTCTCGAAACGTCATCATCCGATACTGTGCTAGGTCAAGTGGGTGAAAATAGCTTGGAGTTACATAATATAATGTTTTCTTATTTTCGTGCTTACATTCTACATAATCCTGATTTGCAAATACTAATAACTAGTTGTATCGTTTCAGCATAGATCTAGTTACAAAGTTATTCTGACCACAGTATCATTGGAAATTGAGAAACAATAGACATTTGCTTTATCCCACTGTGGAGTTCTTCTTTAACAGTACACTAAGACCTTGTGAAGAGCAGGGATGTTGACAGTTAGTCCTTGGACTGAAATACAACATCATATAACTTTAAATATTAACAGTAACTGAAAACTTTAAGCCCATTATTAATGAACTACTTTCCTTGTCTTAAATACTTACTTTATTTATGTTTAACAGATATAAAGGTAGTTTATGTAGATATGTCTGTCTATGATGCATATTTTTAACATCGTTGGTACTTTTATTTTTATATTACAGATGATATACAAATTTTAATATGCAAACTCAACTTTGTTTAATGTTACTTGGTGTAGATTTTGTACACTGGTAGTGTCTGAGTGATGTCAGTCTACCACATTAAACTATGTACTGAACCTCAGACTCATTTCATCATATTACGTAGACTGAATCAAATGTCTGTAAACCAACACTTGGTAATTAATCTGATGCTCACTAGTGACTGACTGTATACAGGAGGTTACCTGGCGTTCTACTAAGAATTAGTAACCAGTAGGGTTCACCAAGTTAGATAAGAGATAAGTCACTCGCCTATGATATCAGCTGGCAGTCGCACTACATATGTCACGAATTGGCAGAAGTTGGAATTCATGGCTGACTGTTGGTCCAGATCTGAGTGGCTGAATTGTCTAAGAGCTGGTCCCCTGACCGGAAGGTGATGAGTTCGAAACCCAGTGTGTACGTACTGCTGAAAAGTTCCAAGACAGGGCGTGGCAGCTTTCTAGTACTCCAAGGTGGTTTTCCAATGGTTCTCTAACTGATGTCAGCTGTTGATCAAACCTGTAATAAATCTTTGATTCCTAGACTTTTGCAGGCCCCAAGCACCGAAATCTGACATAATTTGGTTTGGTAAGTACTATTAAGATCAAAGTAATCTAGGAAAAAGAACAGCTATAACATTTGACGGCTTCTAACCTAGTAAAATCTAAGGACAGATTCGTCACAGAGGCTTTTTTTACTAAATCGACAAGTCATTAATGCACTATAAATGATTCAACACCTTTTCAGGATATTCAGACAAATGAGGGATTATTACATTTGATATGTTTTTTAAAAATACAATATGTCTAAAATGTTTTTCGAGTAAGTAGTATTGTCTAGTGATGGGATACACCTAACAAGCGAATTAATATGCAATTAGATTGCAGTACAGTTTCGAAGTTCTATTCATGTAATAACTGTATCTTCAAGCACACAACAGTTAGAGAAGGTATTTGATGATCGATGTAAGATTTAAAACTACTGATTATTTGGATACCATAATAACAATTGTTGATTTAGAAACTACCCGACATAGTCAATTTGTGCGAAATTTAAAAACGGATTTGAACTGACAGTAAAGTACGCTAGCTTAAGCAGAAAGATATCACAAGAGGTTCAGAATATCTTTGTACCTATGCGCATAAAAGTTATCTAAAATAAGCTGACAGTAGTAGATTACACACAGATTTCTCACTTATAAATTTGACAAGAGAAATAAAAAACATTGGAACAGAATAACATGCAACAGTTTTACTTAATGGTTTTCCTTCAGCTGCACAAAACCTATGGCGATTCATGTGACGAGGTATGATACAATTTTAACACAACTTTTGTTTATCAATAGGAATCATTTTGTCAATAATGGAGGAAGTTTGATTGCTATCGATTTACAAAAGTGTGGTAAACTGTTTTATAACTCTGTACATTAAATGCTACAGCTGAAGAGATATAAAATTTATCTATGTTATGATATTAGATGGTTGGAGGCGATCGGCAGGAATCGACCTAGGTTTCGTGCTAGTTGACACTCACTACTCAGCAAGGTGTATCTACAACCTCGAGGGAACCCATGCCCCTTCTGAGATTCAAAGCCGCGTCACCCATTGCTGCATTCAGAGACGTTACCACTGAGCTATTCGGACTCGTGATTGACCTCCTGTAGGGATATATTGGACACTAGTAACTAGTGTGATGTATCTAGTCCTTTCTTTGGTGCGAACCCGCACTAGCTACTAGTGTTCAATCAAGTATCCAATACACTCCTACAGGAGATCAATTGTGAACCCGAATAGTTCAGTGGTAACGTCTCTGTAGCAATGGGTGACACGGCTATGAATTTAAGAAGGAACATGAGTTCCTTCAATGTTGTAGATACGCCTTGCTGAGTGGACAGTGTCAAATATTACGCAACATAGGTCAGGCAAGGCTTCTTGTCAGTTTCCTTCAACCATCTATTATCATCAGATCAATGTGAACCGTGATAGTGAGCTACTTAGAATGGTGGCCACATTACAAACCTGACTGAGGGAATCCAGTCTGCACCACAGATAGGACTAGACTAATCACACTAGTTACTAGTGTCCAACCAAAGGATCTATATCGTTATCTTCTAGCATTTGTCCTTTCTTTTTTAAATGGTAACTCCTTATTCAACTTGATTTTTCATCACTTAGAGAGAAAGAAGGAATAATTGCAGTCAAATAAAAATGTTATCTGGTTACTTACTAATGTACAGTCTTACTATTTTTACTTCCATGTATACTTACTGAACCACTTTCAGACACGTTATACAAATTTACACTAATTCATACAAAAACAGCTATGGTTGGTGATCATTATATCTATCCAGCCAATAAGTACCGATTGGGGCTTATCAGTAAAGTGTTTAAACTGGCTGCTGCCATAATTGACTCACATGAATAATCGAGTTACACAATGCAATAATGGTGACCTATGTAGATCGGTGATAAAGTCTGGCTTTGAGACTAAATGATACAAATTTGAATGTCTGAAGAATTACTTATCTGCCCAAGATTGCACATAAGCTTCACTTACTGAAAAGTACCAGCCATTGTGAGGAGTTTTCCGTTTAAGTCGACCATTAACAAATGATATTCATCGATCTATCGTAAGTAATGAAGCATATATTCGAAGAAAAACATGCACAACTGTACTCTACCATCTTTGCATTTTCTTCAACTAGTGCAAAATTGGTCTATACCAGTGCATAACTAAAAAAGCGCCAAGATTTAGCAGTTATTTACCTTTTTGTACTGATGAAATCTCAGCACAGATATAAAGGTTTTATGTGGGATTTGCCACCTTACATCATCTGCAGCATAGACATAATATCTGGCCACCGATCAAAGGACATTTGTACTACATAACACTTAGCTCCATCCTCTTTCATGGATGTGAGACACAGGCAGTGAAAGTGGAAGATATGAAACGGTTAGCTGTCTTTGATCATAAGTGTCTCTGTTCTACCTTCTGTCTTAGATAGTAAATGTAACATTGACGTTAGGCGTTGAGTAGTAAATAGTGAGAGCAAGTCAGTTGATGTGGTTGTGAAGGTGAATCGATTAAGACGCCCCCAGGACGTGTATTGAGCATGTCTAGTCATTGCTTTCCTCTACGGGCAATATTGGCTGATATTAGAGCAGGTTGGAAAACAGTTATTGATAGTCAAGCCAAAATTTGGGATCAGTCCATGAAATCTTTGACAGTTAGGTTTAGCCACATAGGGAGGTGCGGACTGTCTATTTGGGGTCCTCATGATTCTAAGAACCAATAGCTGGAAATTATTGTTGAGGTAACTCATGATAGTTCTCAGTGACCCAAATGAATTCACCCTTTGCAATCAAACCTTAATTCTATTCCGTGCAACTATTCTTTATCCCTCACAGTTTTGCTTATTGTCGTTCTTTCAAATATCTCTCTCCTTCATCTTCCTTTATGTGCTTCATGAACTGTGTCAAGCTGAACTGTTGCACTTTTATGCAAAGTCCTACTTTGAAACTAAGTCAGTTAAACTTTTTTATGATGATAACTAAAAGTATACAAGAAATAGCATTAACTTACTTGTTATAAGTTTATATTCCACCACCGAGTGGTTAGTTCAGCATGAAAGTGAATTTATTCTAGTCATTTTGGCTTTGGCTGTTTATGTAAATTTACATAAAATGAAAGCATACAGAGAATGAATACTCAATATTATTTATTTAGAAATGCATGCAAAGTAAATTTTGAAAAAACAAAAAACCAAAATTATGATTGCAATGGCTTTTATCGACATATTTGAGCTATAAGAACACTGAAAGGTTTTTTCTCCATCGTGGTAATAATGAGGCATATGTATTCGCTAACCTCAGTGTAGATTTTACTATAAGGGAAGTTGTAACCTGTAATTTAACATCGGTATTTTCTTCAAGTGCACTTATCGGTTACTTCTGATCACTGTGGAAAGCAAAACACTGTCAGATGTCTTTTCTTTTATTGAAGTATATATATATATATATATATATATATATATATATGTTATGTACTGGTTTTCCCCGTCGCCAAATTGTTATGTACTCGTCGCTAAATTATTGTTATGGACTGGTCGAGAAACTAATAGTCCTGACGCGAGAAGGCGGAAATCAGAAGACCACTAGGTTTGCGATGATACTTCTATTGTCCAAACACAAGGAGACGAAAATAAATGGTCTCACACCAAAGTGGTAAGCAAGTCAAGTAGTTGTAAAGTAAAAGTAGTTCACACAAATTGTGAATGCGAATATATATAAATAATTCAGACAAGCGTGGGAAAAATCATTAGACAGTCTTAACATGAATGGCTAATTATAATGGAGTGTCGATCCAATTATACATAGCGAATATAGCAGACATGCCAACAAACATATATGGATATATGTCACCAAGCAACGGACTGTCAACAAACACTCATATTATATATAATATAATATAAGGAGAATACACATTATTAAAGGAGACAAGTTCATACAAGTGAAGTGGTCACAGACTAACCGAGCAAACAGAAAGAGAGACCAACATGCACACACACACATAAATATATATATGTGGATACATATCAATATATATATATATATATATATAATACAGTGCGTCGGTGGCATAGCAGTAGAATGCTCACCAGCCACGCATGTGGTCCGGGGTTTGATCCCAAGCCGAAGCACTTCCTTACCCCGCCAAGCCAGTAATAGGATTGGTCAAGAGGGAAGGTTGGGCATAAGGCTAAAATAAAATAGACACCACTGCCAGCGAAACTTCAGGCCTCTAGCTTGAGGCCTTTTGATTTACTGGGAACGTGAAGGAATAAAAAAACATAGTATGAACAATGTAATCAGCTCCGCAAGAGGAAGTGAACTGGTATATGTATTTTGAAGTGGTCCAATGCAACAACTTGCCTTTCACATGCTAGCCGAATGTTGCCCGTAGACTGGCAGTAAAGTATGTTTTACTGATAGATTTTGAAAGCCATTTACGGGAAATTTCTTCGTCAGTGACACTTCTAATTTCGAGATTAAGCAGAGGCGTCTGTTTTGGGACTGCCTGTACTTATTCAGAAGTTTTCTTTGGTTTTAGGTTCTTGTCTATGAATGTGAATTCTTCGGCACCAGTGATTCAAAAGTTTAAACCAACGCTATCTATTCAAAAGAAATACGTTCAACTTTTGTCTTTACCACAGCTATCATAAAAACAGTCAATTCTCTCAACAGTAATTATCCTGTTAGGTTTATTTCTGTGATTTCAGGTATTTTAGTCCCTTTTTGCATTACATGTTTCTTATCTGATCTTCCTGTCTGTTTCTTTATTACTAAGTTTTTAATCCCTCTTTGCAATCTTGTTGATTTGACCACCGGGATGAAGCAGTTATGGAACTTTCTCACCTACTTATCGTATATACCTGACTGTACAGCTTGGTTGATGACTTCGTCGTAGAGAAAATTTTCTTCACTTTAACCGTCCTTTTTAATTTTTGTTATTTTTAGTGTAGGTAGTGACGGGCGCATCAGCTGGATGTACGGATTTCTCATTGTGTACTGATGCTCCATTTGAGATTCGAACCCAATGTTCTCATTTTCAAACGTCGAAGCAGGTACAGGTACATTCATTTATAAAGTACCAAATAAGAGGAAACCGGCTTTCAAGAATACACTACAGTACATTAACGAAATGATATCGTATTGACCACAAAATATCGTCGAAGTCTCCTTTCTATTAGCTACATTAACTGAGAACAAGCATTTGGATTCAATTAGATCAGTCATGGGAACTTCAAAATGGGAATTTCAACAAACAGTCTGTGAAGTGTTATTTGTTATTTTCATCAGTTATGCACTTACTACTTATTTTCAGTAACCAGTAGGGTGCATCAAGCCGGGTGTGAGGACAAATATTCGCCGAAGACCTTGGCTAGTGATCGCGCTATGTCGTGAATAGGCGGAAGTTAGAATTCATGGACTGGTCATTGGATCGGGTCCCAGTGGCTTAATGGTCTACGAGCTCGTCAGCCTTGTAACCAGGAGGTCTTGGGTTCGAACCTTAGTGGTTGAGTACTGATGAAGAGTCCCAAGCTAAGACGAAAAAGCTGTCCAGTACTCCCTGGTGGTTTCCAATGGTTCTCTCATTATGAAATCCTTCAACCAAACAAACAAAATTCCTACGAAAACCAATACTTGATTACTGGAATAATACTTAGCTGACTGCTGGAAATATACATAGTTGATTGAGCGTTAATATGTAAGTCGCACCAGTCTTGTGAATGAACACCCCTGGGTGGTGTGAATAGTTTCCAACAGCTTCTGCCAGTCAGTCAGTAGCATATATCTTAGGCTAAATGGTCAGTTTTATTTCCAGCGGCTGCTAATTTTGATACTGACAGTATTTAAACTTTTCTTTCCATCTTCAACGTGCAGTACTCTACCTTTTGCTTCGATTTATTTCAAATCAACATTCATTTTCCGTGAATCTTTGCATGAAAAAAATTCTGATTGAATTTACTTTCTTTTGTTTGCAAGTTATGGTATAAATAAGGCGAAAATATAGTGTAAATATTATTAGTTATATATGCAATATCATTTAAGAATTATGTTTGTATTTATACAATACATAGGTACCATATGCATAAGAAAGAGTTTGCCCGAAAATGTGAGGTCCTCGGGTAATAAGTTGAATACATATTGCAGTTCTACTGTGTTCTTGTTATGCGACCTGCTGCACCCCACTGGTTCAGGTGTGAGGACAAATACTTGCCGAAGACATTGGCTAGCGGTTCCGCTATGTCGTGAATTGGCAGAGGTTAGAATTCATGGACCATTTGATCGGGTCCCAGTGGCTGATGAATGGTCTACGAGCTGGCTCTCCATGTAACCAGAAGGTCCTGGGTTCGAACCTCGTGGTGTGGGTGCGTACTGATGAAGAGTCTCAAATTAGGACGAAACAGTTGCCCAGTACTCCCTTCAGGTTTTCCAATGGTTCTCTGTCCAATGTCAGCTCATGATGAAATCCTGTAACCAATCCATAGGTTTTATTTGCATTTTAAGATATTTAGTCTGCTTTAATGGCTAACCGATAGCTGTATCTTCAACAGATGTATTTTCTGACATCAGGACAAGCTGTATTAGCCACCTTTGGACACTCGCCTTTAGAGCTTGTCCTATCAAGAATACAGCACAAGTGGATAGTCTGAAGACTTTTTGTTTCCATAATCAACGTATATGATCAGACTTAAGCACATTTGAACTACAGCATATCATCGCATACCAAATAGAATAGTGGGAAAATTTCATGAGCAGCTGAAACCAATTTTAATGGTGATGATGCATGTGAGCTAGACCATAAGGTCTATTTTATTATCTTGGAATTCTGTTCTAACAAAAGATAGACAAGGATTGTGTTGTGGGATTAATACACAGAGCTAAACAGCAGCTATTCATAAAATACATAGGGTACCATACTGGCGAAGCTAAACTAATTATACTGAAATGAATTGACTAGGTCCTCGTCTGAGTGTTTCATGTAGTTTACATTTTGTTTTACTGAGTAAGCATCCGACTAGTCTCCATTACCATTTTACGCCTTTTCTCAAAATTACCCTAACCTTTATTTTGCCTAAATATACTACTCGTATGAGCATACCTCTGAATAATTCGGTCTAACAGTTTTTGTTTCGTTATCAGTACTCACAAACTAGGTAAGCTGCTGACCAAGTGAATATTAAAGTACAAGTTTTGTAAGCGCAGTCAAGTGTTACATACTGATAATACGTTTAATAGAAAAGAAAAAGTGTTCAGCAAAGAGTTACTCTTTTCGGCGATATCATTCTCAAGCTGTACAAATCGCAAATTTATAGTAATTTGTCTTGGCAACAAAAGGAATATTTCCAAAGATGTGTTAATGCAATTGTTAGTTTTTGACAAACAGATTACGTAATTTTGAAGGCGTTAATCGGTTAGAAACTAAAATAAAGTTACAAAAGTAGGTTGGGTGACGTAATCTAATTGGTAGGGTTCAATGAAAAAATGAATGAGAGTCAAGTTAATAATCTGAGTAGAATTCACTTGAAAATGAATGAGAGTTAAGTTAATAAGCTGAGTAGAATTCACTTAAAAATAAACGAAAATCGAGTTAGCAACAGTCGTCATGAGCGTAGAGATTTAATAGAGGGTGGGGGTAGAAAATAATGCAATTAAGAAATAGACAAACAAAGAAGAAAGAGGTAAGACAAAATTACGTATTTGGTGTTAAGATAGATCAGGACCATTGTAGATTTAGTGACTGAACAAACTTCTTTTGTATGCAGAGTTCAGGATTCAATATGTGAATTGCCATTGCTTCTGCAGTTTGAAGAAGTTTAATTCGTACTCTTTTGGCAAGATTTCCACGTATTGTGTAGATAACTGAGAAGTTGTTTTGTGGGTTTGCTTGGTGTCCGGATTCGATCAAGTGTTCTAGGATAGAGCTGTGGCGGGGGGATCTTCTTTCTCCTTTATAAAACCATGAAGGTAAGTGTTCGCTGATTCGTTTGGATAGCAAACGCTGGGTACGGCCGACATACCTAGCTCCACATGAGCAGGTG